CGTTGAATTTTCTGAAAAGGCTTAAGCGCCTCAGGTTCTTGATGATGAAGCTATGCTGATACGAGTAAATTCTATTATTGGCCAAGCCCTCGTTTCAAATTATTAATGTGAGCGACCATCGATTCCTATAAAATATTAGTACAGAGTATCCAGTTCTGATTAAAAATAGGCATAGGTAGGATTTAGCCAGAACAGTATCATAATAAAAAATTATCAATTAAACTAACCTCTACGCAGGCGGCAGCCATTTTAAGCTCAAGATCATTGTGACCAGCCACAACAGATTCTGCAGCTTTGGCAAAACATTCAACCGCAATGCTGATGTTAGCGCCTACGCCCTTAAGAGCACGAACACTACCCTTCGAAACAGGTGTGCGCTGGCAGACGAAAATAAGTAAGTCTAGCTAATGTTTGGCAAATATAAAATAAATAAGGTGAAAAATTATTATAACTCGGGTTTTATAAAAAAGGATATCAAGAATAAGTTTAGTATCGTTCTTATGAAGCGTCCTTAAAAAAGCAGGCATTAAATAATACTATTGAATAAATGGATTGACACTTTATAAATAAAGATTAAATAGCTAACAGGAAATCCACAATAAACAGTGATAATGAAGCAAGAGATTTAAATGGATAACAGAGGTAAATAAAATAAGCATAAATAATTATATTTCAAATAATATTTTCCTTACGTAATAAAAAAAAGACTTTGATGAATCAAGCGTAAAAGCTAGCATATACGAAAGAACTAACGCTAAAAGTTAATGATCACTAGCACTAAAAAAATGAAAAGAATAATTGTGATTGTAAATAAAGTATAGCAAGTTATTTAAGTTTTAAAATTAATACTATTGCTTACAAATACACTAAATTTAAAATGGACTCCAGAAATAATAATGATATAAACAATGAAGTTAAAGGGAATATATATCAAATATAGCAGTAAGTGACTATAAAGTTAAATACTAAGGTAGCTACAAATTTGATATTATTTATAGAGCTTTAAGGAAAAATGATTAAAAGGCATAATTCCTCGTTAAAAAGCGCATAGAACTACTAGTTCGTGAGCAGTACATTAACATACTTAAGAAGGAATGTCATAATTGCGTAATAGAATGCAGAATAAAATTATTAAAACGATTATAGATACTTGAGATAAAAATGGATCCAAAGCCTGAAGAATAGAGTGCGTAGGCGCATGAATGTCTTCAATCCGCAAAAATCCGCGAGGACAAGCACGCATTTTGAATAGACTACATCAATAATATAAACTATAACAAAAAGATGACAAAATGGAATTAATATGTATAATATCAAAAAAATACCTAATTTTATTAGCATTTTTATTTAAATTATAGTATTACACATTAAAGACGTTTAGTTTGTTTATTTTTGCGTTATAAGTAGGCTTCTAGGCTACCATTCGATCATAAATATCAGATGTATTCCCCATAGTTCGCTAAAGGCGACAAACAACTGGTATCTAAATTTCGCCACAAGGAATTTATTAGTCCCACATCTTATTGGATTTTTACATCAACTTTCTTCATATGAGCTTTCCTCGTGCAGATATGAAGATCAGGATGGTGTGACCTCCAGTACATATTGCTAAACGAAGAAAAATGGAACGCGATGAAGAAAGTGGAAGGCAGCAGCGAAAACGTTATTATAGAGTAATGTCCGGTTCGAATAAACTAGTACAACTTTATGGGCCTGTCTAAGTGGACGGATAAGCAAACCATCACAGAAATTCGACGTTATGGCCAAATGTAGTAAAATCTACTTTA